ATTTCCTTTACTAATTACTTGTGAAAAAATACTTTGAAAGAAATGAACAACTCAGTTCCATCTCTTTATGTTCTTGCTATGTTCTTGCAGTCATTTTCAACCCTCTTATATTTCTCCAAAATTAAAAAATATCTCGAGCTTGAACGAAATGTTCAAATAAAATTTCACGACAAACATCTTCTTAGGACACTAGAAATCTTCCTTATTTCCCAAACTGAATTTTAAGGCTAACTCTTCAGAGACGATGCCTAGTATTGATGATGCACACTTATTGACAATTATCATAGGATTAAATTATATTAATGATAATAATTAGGCAGTTTAACAATCACTTCTATTGCTTATAAATACACGTTCAATATGAAATTTAGCATTGTTGAAAACAATGGCAATCTGCTGGTAGAAATCGCACAGAAATCAGTACGATTGTAGAACTGAGAGTCTGTAGAGGGTAGTTTATAAAGAGCTGCGCAATTCCGTTTTTGCTTCGGTTCCAAAGCGAATTTTATTTACACCAGTTACAGGACGAAACATGGAAACTTATTCGGCGGCGAGTATGCGATTTTTTTCAAGATACATGCAGCGTTGTTGCCGCGGTGGTGGCACAGCCTAAGGGTAGAAAAATCGCAGGATCTCGCATAGAAGAGGGAGGATCAGTCTTCAACAACGAGGACAAAGACAACTGCCGATCCCATTGTTCAGGGTCGATCGCGGTGCACTCCGATTCGACGGCCCGGTTCTACGTACCGTACATGTGCAAACAGGGTGATAATGTATTCAAGGTCCGCCCCGTTGCCGATGGTGGGGGTGAAACGGGGCGGCCCGCTCGCTATACGTACTGTAACAGATGTTAATTATCCCTTCTGTGTATAGTCAGTAAAAAAAAGTGCCCCGAGTCTCTCGCTCGGACATATCGTCCACTCGTGTTACCATCCCCGTTGAGAATGCCTCCTGTTTCCACTCTTCGAAACGATAGTCACTTGGCCCGCCTAGCGCGCACGCTCCAATCGCGTTCAACTTCCGTCGTGCCCGCTAGGGAAAATTCACCTTAATTCTATGAGAGCCTTTTCCGTTTGTCAACTAGAGTAGAGCACACTAAGACCTTTCGGTGTACGTATCCTAGTTTTCCTCTGATTTTCAGTCCCGATTCTATCTCTCAGTTTCTCGGATTTCTCAGTTTTTGGTACTTTAACGTCACTATTGCGTCGGACAGTTTTAGCTTTCTTTGGCTCTTTAATTTTGTACCTTAATGCTGCCTTTAATAAACTAATTCTTTGTTGTTTTGTTATCATTTACCATTTGAATGGTTTCGAGCTTTTCGCGAAAAATTATTAGTAAAACTATAAGAATGTGTGGTTTGGAGTCAAAAAAAAAAAAAAAAAAAAAATACAAACGCGACTCCGATTCTTTTCAATCTGCTGTATTATGTTACAACATGTATGATTGGATTATACATAGTCTTTAAATACTTAGTTTTAGTATCTAATATAATTTTGTCAACTTTCGTGCATTTTCCACGAGTTTTTCAAAAATTTATATTCCGATAAATGAATTATAATATGACAATGAAATAGTGGACTTTAAATTTTAATCAAATTGCAAACTTCACAATTAAGCACTTTGATATCAGTTGGAGTATAATTAGATTATAACATGATAAATAGTATAATGTCAGTTATTAAAATTGGAAAGGGAAAGAGACAATCATAGTTTCACTCCTGAATGAATAGTATCCGCCATAGTTGTCTATTACTTGTCTAAGCATAGTTTCTACGTTTGAAACTTTTCTGGATTTTATTCAGAAATAGTTCATAGTTCCATTCTTGAACGAACAATATTGGCCATTCGTACACACATACGTAAATATATGTACGTAAGTATAATTCACAAATGATTGGCGAATTTCGCGTAGAGATTGAGTTTGACGGCGAAGAGAAGTAAATCAAGAGTGACAGCTTGCATCTCGTAAGTCTACGGTAGAATGTTCTTGTCGCGGAGAGGGCAAGATGGAATTTCGGAGGGGCAACGCCGAGGGGAAAAATGGTTTCTTGTCGCGCAGCTGAGCGATTCGCGTTGCCATATTCGTTCGGCGAGTCTTAATGGACGAGTTTTAGTGCGGAAATAAATAACCGATAATGAGCCGAGCAAAAACGTTACTAATGATTTTCAGGCCGAATTAGGCGTGCCCGCGGATGCCTCCGACGGAGTCATCCAAATCAATTGAAGCAGCTAACTGGTAATCAACAGTCCGAACGTAAATGATCAACGATGGAACCGGGTAGCTGACTCAATTTCTCTGTCGACGAGTTTATTTGAAGTTCAATTGTTTTTAAATTGACAATTCTATTTTCTACGAATCAATACTTGGAAAGTATTGACGTTGGATGATTTTGTTTAAAAATTGAAGAGAAGTGGAAATTGATGACGAAGGCTACATTGTAATATTTGCGAAAGTATTTTTTTTTTTAGAAATACTATTCTATTACTAATTGATTTGAGAGCTTGATGTATTTTTGAGAGAAATTATTGATGATTAGTAAAGGAGGATTCTTCTGATTTTGTATGAAATGGATTCCTTTTATTTAAAGATGCATTTAACTGTTACAGAGTAATGTTTTTTAAAAATGTTTTTCACCAGTTATTGCAAATAACTGATGATTGAAAATAATATAATTTATCAATTAATTAAATAATGATTCTTGTCAGTGTCTCTGCTTTACCGTCTTCCAAAAAAACTACCCCATTAAACTCGTAAATTATAAAAGTAAGCTATGTTCTTAGAACTATGTTCTTAGTGAAGCTATACCTTCGACTCGTGAGAAAGAAATTTCTTTGACATTTTGTAATTTGTAACTTTATGACTATCAGTTAAATACATATTAACTCTCCATCTTCTAAGAAATCCGAGAAAATTCTCCAATACTTGTCTCTGCTACACTTGCAGAGTACTCGAGTCTTATTTAAAAGAAAAAAAAAAAACCAAAATTAACAGAGAAAAACTTGAAGAATTCAAATGAAAAATCCCAACCATCTCTTCAGTAAAAAAAACAAATTTCAAAGGAAACTTGAAAGTTTCAAACGCTCCCGTCTCAACGGCCCGTCTCCCCGATAAAAAGTTTCAATTCAGAGGAAAGAAATGCAAGACTCGAGGGAATAAAATTATTTGCTTGAGTCGCCAACTGGTACACTCGCCGTCGCCGATGACGGGCTCCAACTGCCCGAATTTCACGAATTGCCGGTTTCCGATGATCGAGGGTGAATTTGAAAGGAAGCGTCCCGACGAAAGAAGGAAACGTGAAACGGAACTGGAGTGTTTCGCCATTGGAGAAACGAATATTGTCCCTGGTTCCACGTTATCGCTGGCGGCCCGTCATCCTGCTCGGCTGACCGAGCAGCGCCTCGTATATCAGCGTAGCTTTTGTTACGACGACGTGCCTTTGTTTTCGCCTTGTTCTCGCGTCTCGGTGTGTTCCAGTAGTGCGAACGTGGACGACGGGTTTCTTGGTTCGGCAGCCTGTAACTGGCCCGGGCAATACACGGGGGTTTCGCTGAACTTGCTTTAACCCACTTTCGCACTGACACAGAAATAGATAACCGAGAGACGCGGTCGGTGAGTTCTTTCCGACGTTCCGACGATTGTGTCAGCTGTGCGAGGAACCGCCGTTCCTTCATTCTGATTGATAGTTTATTAACTGGATTCAGACGTACATGCACCTATTCCTATCGCGACAAGTCGAATACAAATACTTTCACGAAAAGAATATAGGGATATCGGCGAGTTTAATGCGAGAGACGATGCACGAAATAATTTTTACGTGATGAGGAACCAAATTACATATTTCTATTCTTTTTTTTTCAACGAGAGTTGAATAAATGAAAGAAGTATAAGAATAATAAATTTTAAATGTGGTAATGGTTCAGTGTTCAAGGGAATCTCGAAGTAACACCGTGTTAAACAACTCTGCGGTTTCGAATCGCGTTTTTATCTGATTCGTGGTACGTTCCTGTAGAATAAAGTAATAACTTTTCATTGTCGAATTTTCTTTTTGCTTCTCGGTTAATTGAAGCGAATAATGGAAATGAAATTTGTTCCTAGATTTTATGGGAACTGTTTTCTTTCGGTCAATTAAGAATTTTCCTCAGATTGTGCGAAACTTTTTTTTAAAATTACTTAGAAGATTTTATTATCTGTAAATAGGACAGGATAGGTGTAAGGAAGATATAATGCGTTAGAATCAGAGTTTTAGATTTTAATGTTGCTTACAAGTTCAAAGAACACATTTTTATTAATTTACATTGTATTGAAAGGAAAGGTCTGTTTTATATATTAAAAGTAACAGTTATAGAACGAACTGTAATAGAATTCCAATAATCCAGCATGCTAGGGACTTCCACAATGCTGGATTATCAAATATTATCGGATTATTACCCTGCATTCTGCATCTGTAATTTCACGTATAAAATTCAATGAATGAATGAAAGAGAAATCAGAAATAATACAGAAATTTACTTCACACTTGCATAAATACGTTTGTCCCTTTCTCAAGTTATTGTTCTATATGTTAGAATAACTAGAAGAAGCTAAAATATTCAATAAAACCAGAGACCTAATATAAAAATTTGCATCCTGATAGAAACTACAATAGCAATATCTTCAAAACAATAGAATCTTCGATTCTATTGTTATATTAAAATAAAAACTAAAATGTTCAATGAAAGAAGAACCCAATATAAAAATTTGCTGCTGGATAAAAACTCTAATAATAATAATTTATCGTCGCTCATTAGAACAACCAACTAGATAAATTGTTCACTTGAAAAAAAGAAAGAAACGTGATTTCACCACTGCCCCTGCCATTATATCCCGGGTATTATTAAATATCCTCTTTATAATTTCCACGACTTTTATATAGAAATAATGTGAGAATTACCCTCGATTGTTAAACATTACAAGTGTAAAGTGAAAATGAAACTAATCGGTCGATATGTTTCTGTTTCAGAATGCTTTGAAGAGCCGGCCGGTAGAGGAGATTCGAGATGTCTGCCGTAACCAGCCCGTACGGCCCCAGTAAGACGCTCCCTTTTCTAATGTACAGCAACCCCTCTCGTTACGATACTCTAACCGAGGAAACGTAGGCAGCCTTGCAATTGCATCACGCGTCGTCGTCGAACGCGTTTGATCGACTCGTAATAGTCGAGCGCTCCTCCAACGATTCCGAGAACGTTCAATTAACGTTCGTACGGCCCGGCTGAATTCTAATTAATGTTAAAAATTCATTCGCGACGAGAGAGCGGAATGCGTGGCCTTCGCCTGCCGTGTCCTCTAGTTAAAGATCGCTCGAGTTCGAGATTCGCGAGCAACGTTCGTCATTGACCACTGGTCCTCTCTTTGAGTTCTATATTCGAAAGAGAGAGAATGTTCATTCTAAAAAAAAGAATCTCCGTTGATCGAAAGCAATGTTCGAGATTGGTTTAGTGCAAAGTTTTGCGTTTCGGATCGAGAACGAAAAAGTAGGTTAAAATATGGAGGGTGATGAGCAGATTTTGAGAAATAAGAGAGATTTTGGAGTGTTTGGAGTTAACGATAAGATTTTTTATGTGTTATTGTTATTAACGATTGGTTCTTTGAATTCTATTTGAAGTAATAAATGTTTAAAATAAACGGAATCGTCCGATTTCTTTCATTACAAATATTTAGACTTCAAGGAAGATTCTGTCGTTGAAAATTTTCCAAAGTGGATGATCCTGATGTACTAAAATCTAATCAGAAGTCAACCTGTTTGATGAGAGAAAAATTCAATTCTCCAGTACACTGAAAGTGGATATTCTTCGCTAAAAATATTTAATCCTCCGCCGAGCTAAAACGATATATCTCTTCGATGTTAAATCGGAAATAAATCTCCCTACTTACAAAAATATTCAACTTTTTGCTAAACCAAAAATCGCGAAAAAAAAATCTTTTACTGTAGAATATAATCTTTCATTGGACGAAAATCTCTCTAATTGCAAAAAGAAACTCGCCACTGAACCAAAAATAAATCCCTCTTTTCACAAGTAAAGAACTCAATAACTCGCTCTACAATAAAGCAAACGTAATCGTTATGAAATAAAGTGTCAAAAATATCCCCCTAACGAGAGAACAGTCAGACAAAATGAAAGAAAAAAAGAAAAGAAAGTTGAAATGTAAACAATAAGCTAAGACCTCTGTGCTTTTTCCGGGTCGTAGGACCCAGAATTCGCCCGTCTGTCTGATGCACCGGTTGCTTTCCCATCAGCGGAGATGCTTTCCGACTCGGTGTACAACTACGCGACAACCCGGCGGGGGACCGCCGACCAGGACAGCGACTCCCAGTACGAGGGCCAGGCCCAGCTGCAAATCACGAGCATCCAGAAGCCGCGCAACAAGCGCAAAAACTTCAAGCCGATAAGCAGCCGGATGGTCGAGGTGTCGGATGAGTCCGAGAAAGATGACGAGGAGCTGGAAGCGTTGGAGGAGAGTTCCAGCGAGATATTGGAGTACGAGAGGAAGACGATGCTGTTGCCAGCGGAGGACAGGTCGAAGCAGAGGTTGAACAACAACGAGGTCAGCCCTATGGACCTGTCCGTTGCCACTAGGCCACCGTCCTCCGAGGCTGACGACGACAGCGGCGATTCACTTAGGCATAAGTTCATCCTCGAGCAGCTCAGATCTCAGAAACTTTACTCCCCTGGTACCGAGGTAAAGTTCCTTCGTTTCTGCTTATTTGTTTGTTTAAGAAACCAGCTCCCTTGTCTTCGTTGTTGTTTACACTTTCATCATGATTGATTGAATATAATCACAACAAACGTGTTTGAATCTAATCTAGGCACAAACGTTATTTCTGTCGTTTATTGGTTATTTGGTTTATTTGGTTGGTCAGTCAAGTTTTTTGCTTTATCTTCTTGAACTATTCCGGTTTGTAATTAATAATTTAAAAAAAAGAGTATTTAAGAATATTGTTTGAACGTTACTGATAACTTACAACGCAGTTAATTTGTTTAATTACCTACGACGCATGTTTCTACCGACATATATTTATTCCACAATCGTGAAATTATTTCAACCTCTTTCGTCGTCCAAGAATTAAAAAAAAAAACACAATTTTGCGCGAAAATTCGTAATTTAATGGCCAATGTATTTGATGGTGGCAGGCAAGGAGTCCGAATTCAGAATCGTCGGAGAAAAGTGGAAGCGGTGTTCTGGATACCGAATCGGGGCGATTAGACGACACTCCGTTCGAGGACGATCGAGCGCAGGATGGCGACGGTGAGACGGAGTGCGAGGAGAGGAAACCGTTCGAAGGAATGAGGGAGTACGCCGAAACGACCATGCAGGAGTTGTTGGCGATCTACGGTCTGGCGGGAGGAGAATTGGCCAAGTCAGTGAGCAGACAGCTACCGCCGACCTTTCTGAACCCACCGACTGGTCATCAGCCTCACGGTGAGCACTCTACTCGCTGATCTTGTTCTTTTCACACGTATGCATGTAACGACGCTGTCATACTACTACTTTTATTCTCATTGATTTCGTTAACGAATGGAACGAAGTTTCCCTGTTCAATTGTTAGATTGCGGATTTTCATGCGTTTGTGGGAAATTTAAAAATGTCACAGACGATACGCGAAGAATGTACAAAATGTCCGAAATACAGTGCATGTTGTGTCGATGTTTCATGGGAGTGAAATAATTTTCTTTCACTCTCTTTTTTCATTCAGTACGAATTAACATAAAGTATTCGCGGTCTAATGATCAAACTCTCAAGAAGTTGAAAACTCTTTTCTGGAGGTGCTATTGTAATTGTTAATTCCAGTCTTTCTTTGAAATTTAAAAATTCATTTCAACGTGACATTTTATTTGCAAGTTTCAATTCGTATTATTAAATTCTACTTTTCAACATTGAAACTTTTCAATATTTCTTTCGTCATTAAATTCTATTCTGTTTCATTTGCTGAAACATTGAAATATTTATTAATAAAAATATTTAAAGCTGAAGTACTTCTCATTAAAAAATACTCGATTATTCCTTATTAGAAATACACGATATGGTAAATTATCCAATCCATAATCACATAAACATCCGCAGTCTACTAACAAATCACCTAATCGAATTATGACCAGAGTTCCATCAACGAACCTAGCTCATTATTTTCAAACGTCTCTTCGTCCATGTACATTTATTTCTACCTAGCTTGCAATTAGAAGCAAGCAGGTTAACAGTTGTTAACGACCGTCTTACGAGAACAAACTAGAACTTGTCGTTCGACCGCGCAAGCCTTGGCCAAAGGCTATTAACGCGTGGGCGGTTCTCGAAGCGGAAGAAAGAGAGAAAAGAAAACCGTTGGCCCAGTGGATCCTCGATTTTCAAGGATCTTGTAAAATACCTCCATAGCTCGAAGAGAGAAAATATATAAAATATCGAAAGTCGGGCACGCTTGTCGTAATATTTACGATATTTAGCGTTTCACTTTGTTTTAAATCGTGTTCATGAAAATTGAGAATTACGTGGAAATAAAAAAATGGCACTTGATCGTTCCGAATCTGTATATATATATATATATATATATATATATATATATATATATATATATATATATATATATATATATATATATATGGTGAAAAATTCAAATCACTTCGAATAAAATTTGAAAACGTCTGAAAACTGTTGAAAGTTTTGAGAATCATGGGAAATGTTAAAAAACATCGAAGCTCTTGAACACGTTGAAAGTATTGAAACTCAAGTCCAAAACATTTATGCAAAAATTTTCCTTTGAACATAAATAGCAAAAGCAGCATTTGTACAATTATTCAAAATCTTCAAGAGTTTCGAACAGAGTTTCAAAAATTCAAATCTATCAAATTGTTAAAACGCTCGGAAGTAATTCGAGTTCTCACCGTCCTGGAAAATGTCGAATCGTTTCGAAACAGATATAAAACTCGATGGCTCGCGCGTCAGCTTCCTCGAATCGTTATTATTCGCGGCAGAAGTTCGCGCTGCCTAGCTGAAGAGAAATTGGAGGCGCCCTCGGTATTCGACGAAATCGTTAGTCGTGACGAATTGTGGCATAACGTCGGACGATTGGTTGGCATCGAATTCGGGGCTGGGCCACGAACAATTGACAAGTGTAGTTACTGGTTGATATTCGCGGTCGTACTTGGCGTAAAATCAATTTTACTCGGCCGCGTAACTGTTTTCTTCTTTCCTCCTTCCTTTTTCGTATCTGTCTTTCGATCGCCAAGCGAGCCAGAAAATCTTTGGCCATTAACGCGAAGTTACATTAATTTTAGATCGGATTAATTCAACTGGTGACGGAGATTTGTCGTTTCTGTTACAACAACGAAGAAAGAGAGAGATTATAGTTTGTCGATTATACGGCTGGTTGGTTCGGCTCTTCGATAGATTCTTCGGTGAAATGAGGTTACCGCGAAATCATTCTGATCGATCGATCAGAGTCGAGGAAGAGCTAACCGACTTTGTTATTCAATCGATCTCTCGTCCATGATCATTTACGTAGGTATATGAAATAATTTCGATAATGGTATTGGTGGACTGACAAATTGAAAGTCGTCGATTTTTGGGTTAGATGAACTTGTCTTTTATTTTACGTTAAATAAAATTCAAGTAATAATTCATGAAATTTCGTTTGTTTGATAAGAAAACTTGCAGTTCTTCTTCTTAGGTTTGTAATTTTAAATATGTTCGAAGTCATTCTCCGGGAATTTTTTCTTCTCCATAGATGTTTGTTTTATTTTCATAATTTTAAGTTTAATTTTAATTTAATTATGACGGTTTAATTGTTCAACTGTACCTTGTGTCTTAAGGGAACGAAATACAAAAAAAAAAAAAAAAAAAAAAGGAATAGTAGATAAAAATTGAAGACTTTCAATCTTTCAAAAGTATCTTTATTCCATCATATTTTCATAATCTTCTGATGATGGAAAAATTTTCAATCCTCCACGAGCCAATCCAACACCGGAAACTCTTCATGTAAAAAAAAAAATCTCTATTCTAAATCAGAATTTCTTCGTAATCTTTCCAAACCTCGGAAATTCTTCATCGATGAAAAAATTGTATCAGAGACTGACAACGAACAGAAACGAAATGAACTGTTTCTCCCACTATAGTTCAACTCTTTCTCAACTCCGATGAACCAAAACGTTGCGGAATGAAGCACCAATTTTCCCTCGTTCGCAGAAAATCAGGGACGGCTAGACTTTCTCGATTTGACTGTATGAACGTCTGTATGAAACCAGAACAGAATGGCACTTACATATTGCCAGTGCATCGCGTATGCGCGTATGCACGTGAATACGCGATGGTTCTCTCTCGCAAGATGGCCGACTTATAACTCATAAAGTCGGTCGGACCGCGCGCGAACCGTTGACTGTCTCGCGATCGATGGATGCCTTTGAGATCAGCCAGCGTCATCGTTTCCCGTTGCCGCGCGTCTCGCGTGGGTTGACAGTCTCACGAATTCCTCGCCGCTGTGTTCTGTTGTACGCCTCGGCCGGGCATCGTCTCCGTTTCGTTCACGTTGCAGGCTAACGAGTCAATTTCGCTATTCCTCGGTTCCCCCTCTCCTCCCGGCTTTTGCCTCGAAGACACTGGCCGTCGAGTTTTTGAATTACATTCTGCCACGGCTGATTGATTCATAGCCGAAGTGTTTGCCAGATTAACGTCTTCCTGGCGAATTGAGTTTTCTTTATTCGCGGCGGTGGCGGTGACAGCAGCTGGCTGCACGCTGCGTCCTCTTTCGATCGACGAAACGGTATTGGCGTTTTTGCTCGTTCTTGGATTCGTTCTTTCGCGAGTAATATGGAAGTTAAATTGTTTTCTTCTTTTTTCTGTTTTTTAATGATATTTGGAGGATGAAGTTATGGTCAGACGCAAAATAAATAATGGAATAAAAAGATACACAGACGGATAACGTGCGGAATAAAGTGCTTTTTTTATTGTAATACTTACGGTATCAAGATATATTTTTATTTATCTATTCTGTCTCTTTTCTTTATGGAAAATTTAAAGTTATGTAAAAATGAATAAAACGCAAGAAGTGTGCAGAGTAAAGTATATTTCTCGTAATATTTTTCGAGGAAAATGTTTCTATTTAGAGTTTGTTTCAAAGTGCAAAATTAAATAAAATGAATTGCAAATAACGTGCAAATAACGTGTCCACGTTTTAAATAATATTTTGAGTATATATGAAAATATCTCCAGTTAGATTTTGTTTTTTATAGAAAATTTTAATGTGCGAAATCAAATGAAATGCAAATAATACCTTGCAAAGTGCTTTTTGCTAATATTTAGAGAATAAATATTATCTCTAATAATCTATTTTTGTACTTAAAGCTGTGCAAAAGTAAATAACATACAAGCAATATGCATAGTAAAGTATAATCGTTTTATAATCGTTTGCACAGGATAATAGAAATGTCTGTTTCTCTATTAATATTCATGCGAATATAAATTTACATATAGTAAATATAATCTACGTATTACTAGCGAATCCAATGACAATACTTGATCATCAGCAAGCTAACTAATTCATTAAGGGTTAGTGAACGGTTTTAAATGAGTTCTTCTTTTTTTTTTTTTTTTTTCTTCTTTTGCATTGACGAGACGTTTAACCAATTCAACTTATAAATAAATAAGAAACAGTTGATCAAAACTAACGTCGATTATCGAATTCTAATATTCTTGTCAGTGCATACACGTGGAAGAATTATCCATTTATTGGCCGAGCGTATCGTGTATCGTCGGCTGAGTTTTTCGTTTACATATACGTGCTTTTGTCGCGTCCGGTTTGAGAACGATCCTTTCGTCGTATTCGATTAAACTCACGGTCCGTGGTACGACGCCATCCTGCCAATTACCAGAAAACTGACCGCGTGAAATCGAATGCGACATGCCTCGTAACTCGTCACCGGTGTCTGTTCTCCCTTCTCCTTCTACTTTTCGTCAGGAATTGGGAATCTTGCTGACACTACGTCAACTCCTTTCTTCTCGCTTGAGAATCGCTCGAGGCTGTGGCAAATGGAAGCACTGTCACGCGTTATTTCTTCATCAAGCGCCGGTAACGAGATTAGAGAGATATTGAGGATTAACCTCGAAGTAACAGACTTGCGACATCGGTGGAAGAGAGTGAGAATTCGTTTCTGTTCGAGAAACTATGGTTGTCAGTCGTCGTTCCGCGAGTTTAAATTTAAGTTATGTTTAAATAATTCGGTGAACAGCCTGGGATCGTTGAATTCGTTAGATTGAAACGCAGGATGTTCTTTCGAATGATAGCTAGTGGGTAGAGAAGATGAATATGAAATTTTGCAGTAATTAGATCTAACATGTATCTAATTTAGATCTTCTCTGTATACAAAACGTGAAACGATCGCAATAATTACTTCAAATTATGTACGCATATTTATTCTCGATTGTACCTCGCGATT